GCAGTCTTGGTCTGATTTTAATATAACTTGGCACACAAGTAAACTACACTAAGATACATAATTTCGTGCATCGGTTTTTTGATTTCAATGAACAGTGTTACCATGGTTACTGAAAATAGAAATTTCAATGAAATTCCTTCGAAACGAACTCCTTCTGCAATTTTAGTCTGATTTTAATATAATTTGGCACACAAGTAGACTACACAAAGAAACATAATTCTATTTATTTCTGCCAGTTGAAAAGTCAAATACAAGTGCTACTTTTCTTTTTATACACATACAGACCAGTTGTACAGACCAGTAGAGCTACAATCGCATCAGAGACTTCTGGTTACAATATAAACTCCCCATCTCTCAAGGATGCTTTGTACTAAGTTCGGTTAAAATTGGCCCAGTGGCTCTTGAGAAGACGTTGAACATGTGAAAAGTTTACAGATGGACGGACGACGGACAAAATGTGATCAGAAAAGCTCACTGGAGCCTTCGGCTTAAATGGTGTCTAGTTAATATTTTTCTTAAAGATAAACTTGATGGGTTCTTATTTTATACAAAGTTTGCTTATGACCTTATCCCACGGTCTTTTGTGTAACTTCAAGGTCACTGAAATAAAAGTTAAGGTCACTGTTCATGTTGAAGGTCACTGAAAGAAAAAGTGCATAATTCGTATTCGGTCCATATCAGTAGTATTTATGTTTTATTAGGCTTCGCCTTATTTTCATTTATAAAGTATATAATGATTAATTATTTTCACTGTAAATGTTTAAACGAAACACCAATACTAGTATTAGTGACAAGTCACCTTCTCTGAAAAACATAGCGGGGGTATTTGTCACATTTGGACAGTTCTAGTTTGCTTGGAATACATACTAGTTTGTAGCATTACCTTTTGTTGTACCCTCAAGAATGTTAAAATTATATCCCGAAACCATCATTTGCAGACGTAGAGACCTGTACTTGGCACTTTGGATTTCGGTTAATATAGTCTCATCTGAAGGAGCAGTTTCTACGCCCCGCAGTGTGATCCGAACCGCAAAGTAAGGGTCTACTCTCTTACTCCGCGACTCTATAGCAAACGCTCGTAACACTGCGACCATGTAGCATTAGTTGTAAAAGTGCATGATTTGAAAGAAAACAGTACAAACTATAGATTTTACTGAAAGAATTCAATTACCACTATCTTGCTCCCACACATGTCCTTTTCAAATTCCTCACCAAGCTTAAAACAATCTTCCTGTGCCATGAAATGGTCAACCATGGAAATATGTACTCTATCACCATCCTTCACGGAGATTTCAGAAACTGGTTTTGATAAACCCGCCATCTTCCGAACAAAGACATTTACACCTGAAAAAGTGAATGTTTATGGTTAGAAAGAGATATTCAAGTGTGTTTACTTCTCAGTATGGTAATAACGATTAAAAATTTTAAAATATGGAAGATCCATTTATGCTCCAAAAAGGAAAAGGTGGCAGAAAATTTAATGGCAACCAAACCGCTTGACTGACATTTTCCTTAAGATTGTGCTACTTGTAATATGTGCGCTGGAAAGTGGAAATTCTGTCATTCTCTTCACGAGTAGTAATAATATGTTTCAGTCTCTTAAGGATTTCGAAGTTTTTTGGTTTTTTTTGGAATAAAACTTCCATGCTCGGGCTGATGCCTTTAAAGTAACCATTATGAAAGGATTTTTTTTCGTATTTCATATCCATCTCCTTTGAAACGTACTGTAGTGACAATCAGAGTAATATATCAATAGTCGAGTTCCAAAATGCCGACTTCGTCAACAGTTTTTTTACTTTTGACACAATAGTTACCTCCAGGGAAGTCAATATTTTGACATACATGTACCACATGTTTATCATGAACAAAGCGTGGCTACTGACTTGAAGGTTAAAATAAGGTTGATTTTTCCTCCTTTCCGATAATTATACAGTTAATTTTAATTATTATTTCATACTTCGGTATTGATCATTACATGTAGAAGATACGTTAAATTTTTTTTTAAAACGACATTTATGAGGGGGGTGGGGTTGGTAGCATGGCGATGCAAATCGTCTGATAATAGGTTAACGCCAAGGCCGCAATATCTTAGCCATATTTCAGCGGACTAATAAGTTAATATAATCGGTTTTTGTACGTTTTTGGTTCCTCTGTTGGCCCCCATAGAGCCTACTCTTTTTCGAACTCCAGAGAAACTAAAGTCCCAATCGACGGACTTAAAATTTAAAAACGTATAAACTTTTAAAAAAAAATTAGATTGACCTATGTATTTTTCATTACAATTGCAATTGTATTTCAATATAACTGGAAGTCTCAGACGAGACTGTAGCTCTACTGCTTAACAGTCATAACAAAGGGAGAAAAAATTAGCATTTGAACATGAAACTTTGCAACAGCAAGAAATTTTAAAACTAATCACATATTTAATTTTTTTTTTTTTGCTAAATTAATTGCAATCAGACAAAAACTGTAAGAGGAGTAGCATTTTGAAAATAGTTCCAAGAAATTTCCATTTTTAGTAATCATGCCAACACCTTTCAAAATAAAAAAATCGATATATAGATTAATGTATTGTAGTGTAGTCTACTTGTGTGCCTAGTTATATTGAAATCCAAACAAAACTGTAGGAGGAGTAACATTTTAAAGAACTGTTTATAGACAGATGACGGACGGACGACGGTGACACCTTACTATCGCATAACCTCTTCTGGTTTTTCGACCAGTAGAGCTGAAAATCAGTTTCTTGTAAATATTGTAAAAGTATTACATTCTTAACATGAATTTTGTTAAAAAAAAAGTTCATACATTGTTCTCACATAATGTAAAAGTCTTCTTCGAATAGGCGTAAAATCTGAACATTCTTAAAGAAATATGAGCTGCATTTTGGAGAAATTTATTATGTTGTTAAAATATGTTATTATGATAAATCTGCATGTAATTTAAACCATTATGATTAATCAGACTGGTATAATTAAGAATTATTTCTGTTTTCAGAAAAAAAATCTAAAAAGGAATGTATAATATTATATAAGAAATCAATATTGTACAGGACGACAATAATGTAATAATTTTGCTTCAATTAAAGCATATAAATAGTTCTCCTGTCTGTAATATAAAGAATAGAAGTTTATAAATGTTCTTTTTTTCTGTCATTTAAATAATTAATTACAATATTGCAACAAAAATTTTCGACATCAAACTTGCAGCTCATATTGCTTTAAAGAATATGATTTATAGTTAATGGGCAGTCACAGTATATACATGTACATTCTGGTTGAAAGGTCAACATCTCTAAAATGCTCTTTTAGATCTTAGACCAAGAGGTTTTAAATATGATTTAATTTGAACTGCGGATGGAAAACAATATTATAAGCTACCAGTGAGTGTATATAATTATGGAATGTTTAGAAGGGAAACATATACAACCAATTATCAGGTCTGAGTAGGGCTGTCACCCGAGGTCGCTAACGCCCGAGGGTGATTACCGTACTCAGACCTGAAATTTTGTGATGTCTCCCATCTAATCAGTCCATAATAGTTTTATTATCATGAAAAATCTAAATTATCAGTTAGATAGAGTAAAAAATAGTATTCAAACCTCTTGTGTTCCCCTTATCTGCAGTGATGCCATACTTTCAAAATATGTCAACCGAAAACTTTGACGTCATCATTAGAATTTATTATTAACCGATCCCGCATATATTTAGTAATAATTGTTTAATATAAATAAGAGTTCTCTCGCTTAAACCCCCGTATTTTGATTCAAAGGGCGACAACACAGTTGTAACTCGGCATGCTCGCTTGCGCTATGTCATTGTCATCTGAAGGGTGACAACAGTTGTCACACTGCGCGTTAGGGAGACATCACAAATTGTCACACCTCACGTGACATGCTTTAAACCAATCAGATTGACTGTATAATTCTGAAGGATAATAACTGATATTAACTTTGAATTTCAGAACATATTATATTGTGTGGTGAATTCTATTCTTCACTAGTCGGGAAGCGGTTCGTTGGAAACGACATATAAACTGTCTACAAGAAAACTCGAAAAGCTCCTAAGTACAGTCGCAGCTTTTATGTATGTTCTTACAGAGCCAAACACAATGCAGCCATAATCTAACTTGGATCTTACTAAAGGAACGATAGCATTCTAAAACGTTTTTATCTGCCCCCATTTTGTATTTGCAAGAATTTTAAGAACACGTATACTGTAAAGTAAAGCCTTTGTGCATTTTCCTTTAAAAATTTCAATATGCTATAAAAGAAAGTATTCTGGTTAAATGTTTTTAACGCAGTAAACAAAATATATGTTATTTCTTGGTTATTATTGTTCTCAACTGATAAATACACAAGTGATTAATTAGTGAACAGTGAATATTTATGAAACCAGAAAAAAAAATTAAGTATTTTCCTGACTGTTTGAACCTTGAAAATTTGCTGGAAAAACATTACAGAAAACAAGAAGTAACGGGGAGAATCTGCAGGAAATGAAGGTATTACATGTATGAAATTAAAATGATATATATAACTAATTGACTATCTTTTTCTTTAAATTGAGATTTTCAATACATATATGTTATATTGGAATTAGCAAAACACAATATAAAACGCATTACGTTTAAGTACCTTTGCTTTATTTATGAATATAAAATAAAGGTAGAGAGATGTTTTAACTTTATTGACAAATTTACTGTTTTGATAGAGAGAAAATTGCAGACTGAAAGAAGAAAATGCAAAGCTGAACCCCCGGTTGGAGGAAATGCAGCGGAAATACGGCACGGGTATGGGTTTCATAGCGTAATTAAAAGATTTTTTGAATCAAGACAAAACTTTGGGACACTAAAGCACCTCTTAAAATGATGTTTTGTTTTACAGGATGCATTTTCATTTGAAAAATAAGTCGGAGACCATGGTGGAAAATACCGTTGTAAAAAATTTTAGTAAAATAACATCGGATCTCTCTATATTGTTAAATTTTAAAATGAAAACAAAATGTGTTTGTGAAACACTTATGCCCCCGTATGGCAATATAGCGAAAACTATTCTTAAATGCAAATTAAATATGTTAGTATCCAAAGTTAGGTCTTCTCACAAGAAATACATTTATGAAATATGATAGTCCTAGCACAACCTTTTCAAAAGTTATGGCCAAGGATAAGTTTTTGAAAGGACAAACTCCAGGGTCAAGGTCAAAGTTAGTTTCCAAAGAAAGGTCTTGTAACAAGAATTACATACGTGAAGTGTAAAAACCCTGGCCCCAACTGTTCAAAAGTTATAGCCAAGGTTAAAGTTTTGAAAAATAAATGATAAAACTCCAATGTAAAAAAGTCAAAGTTGTTGGTATTCAATGAAAGATCTTTTCACAAACAATTAATACTTCTGTGAAGAATGAAAGTTCTAGTATCTACCGTTCAAAAGTAATGACCGAAGTTAAAGTTTGTCATTTTCGTTTAAAAGTGTGTCAAACTCCAAGGTCCAACAAACAGACAGACGGACGGACACGACAAAACTATATATCTCCGAATCCCCTTTGATTATGGGGGCACAAAAAATGATTTTGTTATCACAGTAAATAGTTTATTTCTTCAAGATGTATTATATATAAAAAGTATAATAAAGTTTAGGGGCCATTGGAAACTCAGCAGACCTGCACGGGTCAGGACAAAGACAGAAGAAAAGAGGTTCAGTAACATCGTCTGTTTTATGTTAAATAATGAAAACATTCGTCAATCATTTTGCTATCCATTAAACATTTATTAGTTTTACATTAAAAAATTACATGTCAAACAATTACGAACTTATTACAAAAGAATTTGAGACTAAGTTGATGTACATATGTATTTCAGTAAAACATGATGTATCAGAACAATTTTAAAATGGTATTATATAACTTCCTAAGAAGTGGATGTTCTAATAGACAACAGATCCTCTTGCTGTTCTGCCAAACTTGACAACTTTAGGTCTTGCGCAAGGAAATAGCCAATCAAAATGAACTTAGTCAAATGAAGTTCCATATACATAGAGACAATTTCTTTTTCTTTTTTCATTTTCGGCAACTTTTTTTTAGGTATAGTTTTAATTTTGGACTCATGTACTAGGAATATCATATCTTTAGCAGAATTGTGCCACTGAATTAAAGGGAACTCTTTTTTAGGTGCGCGTGATGCAACTTCCTGGATGGTGTGTAGGCTGTTTGTCAACATTTGAAACCCACATGTATTTCGGGGTAGGTATGTTTACTCTCAATTTTCTTTCTTAAAAGCCGCATAAGGGGTATTTTTTCTGATCTCAATTTTTTTTCTAAGCATTAGTCTTTATTTTCTATTTCCTGAATTTTCTGCTGAGAGTCTAGTTAATTAATTAATTTAATCAAAGCTATATAGTAAGATATAGTGAAATTATTTCCTTGTGTGAGACCGTTGTAGAATGCATTGGGTTGTTCTCGAAAAGATCAAAAAAATCCATTCAGACGGATTCTGGTGTAAGAATGTATATCTTTTAAATTTAAGCTATATTTATTTATCCTGTTTGATGCTTAATTATCCAGAATCATTAAGATAGAAACATTTCATACTTGTATGTAAATGGTGACAGAAACTTCGAAGAGTTAATAAAAAGAAAAAATGCATTAAGTCAATTGGTTTAAGATATAAAAATCAGTAACTAGATTCAGAGCTACATGTGCCATTGTTACATACATCACTTATTCTGAAATACCGCCATGGGAATTAATTAAACCAGACGTAAATACTTCTGTAATAGAGTTCACTAAATCAGAAGCAAAATTCATCGTTTTCAAGCAGAAAATAGCAGAAATAAAACATTTTAAATATTTGACAATTGAAATTTATACAGATGGATCAAAAGACAAAAACAAAGTAGCAGCCGCTGCAGTGGTTAAAGATGACGTGTTTTCTACACGACTTTCTGATGACGCAACGATTTTTTCAGCTGAAGCGAAAGAAATACAACTTGCATTTGAATATATTAAATCGTCTAGTGATAATAATTTTCGATTTTTTCAGACTCGCTCTCTTGCTTACAATCCATAAACAATATAAACATTGATCACCCTTATATTTTTGATATATTAATCAGGTACTATCACTTTATTAAAGAAGTTAAAGTTGTCTATTTTTGTTGTATTCCAAGTTTTATTGGTATCCCAGGAAACACGAAAGCTGATAGTACTGCAAAAATGCACTTTAGTATGAAATTGTACACTTTAAAATTCCCTACACTGAATGACTGAATGAAAATCTTTGGTAACATCTTTAGTAATTTCACTTTGGCAAATATTTCGGGATTTTTGCGATAATAATAAAGTTAACAGTCATCTGATTTTGGCTTTAAACGCCAAGACGAAGTCATTATATCAAGGGTACGCATTGGACATCCCACTCATATTTACTAAATAGGGAACAACAACCCGAATGCTTATCTTGTGACTGTGCAATAACTGTTAACCACATTCTTTTTAAAATGTTCTGATGTTTGGCCTATTCGTAATATGCGTTTTAATGGTGTGCACTCAATGCATGACCTTTTTTACAAATGTAAGTCCTAGTACAATTTTACAATATTTGCAAGAAACTGACGTAGGATTTAGATATATACAGTACACCTTTTAAAAAACATTATTTGTTAATCATTATAAATTGAACTGTTGACCATTAGTTACTCGACTAATAATTATTTTTCTCGAATCAAATTCGTGAAATCAATATTCCTAAAATAAATCTCTGTAATCACCAGATATACCTCCTTTACAAGGACAAACTTGGTGTAAAATTATAATTATTAAATTTTATTATTTTTTTAAGTCATAAAATATTTATTAATTCAACAGGTTATTAAGTGAAGTATGTGTGTGACAGCCTTATGGAAGTGTGAAGCCTGCGCATGTGAGGAAACTTCCAGCTTGAGATGTCAATGGACTGTTTCATTTTCCTTTTTTATTTAGAAGGACATGAAAGTGAAATAATAAATATATAAAATCATACCATTTTTATCTTTCATTTAGGTGTCAGATTCTTTATTTAAAGCGACACCGTGATGCACAAACGTGAAAATTAACAAATGTAGTGGTTTTGCTTGACCTGTGCAAATTTTGTTCAATTCCTGCAACTATTATGTTTCAAAAAATTACAGATTTCAGAACCTAAAGAATGTACTTTCAGAAGAAAATTATAAGTAAATTAAAGTAAAAATACATTTCGTTTGCCCCAACATGAAAATATTGCTTTAAAGTCTTCCTCCACATTGTAAAAATGCGCAGACAAGTTGAAGAAGTCACTGTGGTCTTAAGTACCAAATATTGAATATTGGTAGACAAGGAATTTCGATACAATCTTTTAAAAAGGTTACTTTATTATATTACATATTTCTCATCTTTGCATGCTTCAATTCAATGTTGTTTACAAATTTAATCTAAAAAGTGGCGTGACCTTGACAAACACGAAAATGACGAAACATTGGAAACAACCTGTTTTTTCCAACACTTTTCTTGTGCAGTATTTCCGTGCTTTACAGTTCAGTTTATTTACGATACGTACGTTGTATTCATAATGTTAGATATCTTAAAAGAAACATGGTTTTGACTCATTTCGTAACTTAAAGTTAAATAAAAATGAGAATGTCAAATTGACACACTTTAGCTTTCTCGTGTTCACAGGTATTTTTAGACATATCTCATTATGTAACAATCAGACATATACTGGAAGAGCAAAGTCATTTTTTTTAAATCAAAAATTATTTGTTCTAATTTTCATTTATAAAGATGAGTATTTGAGAAAAGGTGTTGATATAATTCTTTGGGGTAAGCCAGTTTAGTAGAAGAACACTAATCAGTAAACGATATTTTTTCTCGATGATTAAGATGTATGCTCTGAATTTCATTGTGTTTTTGCTCTGTAATATCAATATTTTTTTAATGCATATTGTTTTGTCCTTCCCAAATCGGTCAATCAGCTCTTAGATATTATATGTTTCAGAAAATGACAATTTAAAAAAATAATAGAAACCTCAGATATAGTTAAATCAAACATACGGCTTACCACATTCTTGTAAGAAGTCTTCAAAGCGTTCACTTCTATCTAGTTTCCATTTGCCGACAAACCTTTCTTTTATTTCATCCATGTTTGTGTGAAAGAAATATTTACCTTAAAGCATTAATTACCTGACCACAGCACTGTATGGCTGGCAAAGTGTGTCATCATCAGTTTCAAATTAATTTATTTCGAATTTACATTATTTTTAAATTACTTATTAGAAGTAATCCTATTTTGACGTTGAAAAATAAAATACAAGTACAAGTCCTATTTTATCCGTTTGTTGGGAAGGGAAGTTGAAAGAAAATCAACAAAATTCTACTGGTATAAAGAAACATCTGTGCTCGAATTCACAAATAATAATATGCATTATATAAGGCTATGCAATCACAGGCACTTATTGAATGCCCCCTTTTAAGCTTTACTGGTCAGAGACCAAAAGAGCTAATGCGATATTAACGTGTCCGTCCGTCTGTCTGTGAACATTTTTTATAATGCTACTCCTCCTACATATTTGATCTGATTTCAATATACAGTAAGTTGACACACAAGTAGACTACACCAAGACGCATAATTCTGTGTATCAGTTTTTTGTTGTTTTTTTTTTTATATTATTTTGATGAAAGATGTTGCCATGGTACCGAAAATTGAAAATTCTGTATAATTTTTATTAAAAGCTTCTCCTATAGTTGAAGTCTTATTTCAATCTTGCCACAAAAATAGACTTAATCAAAGATCATTTTTCTCTACTTATTTGCTGTTGTAAATTTCCAAGTCCGAACTTTTATTTTTCTCTTCTTTTAATACAAACCAGTAGAGCCACAGTCCCGACAGAGGCTTCTGTTTATGCAATTCTCGATATTTCTTTCTACGATATTAGCACCATGGTATACTCTACACATTCGTTACACCTGACTGCTTTTTTGTCACGGGTATTGGCGTGGAATGGCGACCCATGTTCGTTCTAGTTATCTTGCATTACCTCTGTTCACATTTTATTGCAGTAACATGTATTTGTGTTTCTTTGTATATAGCTGACATAACGTAGCCCTCTCCGATTTTTTAATCTGTGGTTTTCTGGAAAGGACTACAATTCCACAGCAATTCCGTAATGATGCAAACAAGTTTCTGTCCTTTAAAAAAGGACTGCAAAACGTGGACCATATGCATGTGTTTCTAACCGAAACTCAATTAAGGAAAATTTCTAGATTAAGTGAATTATGTAGATTCGTTAACATTTTCTACAATGATCTGCCTACTTGACTGATACAGTATAGTACTTTCATAGCAAAATTGATAAATTTTATCTCCCATTGGCCATTAATTTTGTCATTTTAAAAAGCCGGGCTATTTTGATACATGTAACCCATAACGACTGGGATTAGAGATATGTTCTAGATTAATAAAACGGAAGAAATTTATCATTGGATCATTGGAAAAATAGATCTGATGGTACACGTGAAGCAAAAGCTCTGTAGTACGCAATTTTTTTTTATCGAAGCACCCCTCCCTTCCCAACATGGACTACCGCTGCTTCAAGTTGTACTAGTATTGCTGTATATCAAATTTTGCAAGCCTTGATGTACTAAACTAATGCCGGTGAAGACTTGTTCTATCTTTTAAAACCTTAAACCAGTCGTTGAATGTAGTTTTGAATTCAAATTGTTAAGTTATCTATATACTGCAAGTTCTTCGTATTTTTTAAAATGGCTGTGCCATTAAATCAATGTTTAGTTTGTATTTAAAAGTAAAAATATAAGAGAGATCCGTCAATGAAAACATAAATACGATATGCAGATTTTAAAGTGAGATTTCCCAATAAATAGCACATTTGATTTCGAATAGGATGAATTATTCTACGGACAAGTTGTCATAGGGGCGAACTCTCTAGCATTCTCGCTCATGCGTAGCCTGACATATGCCCATGCCATCCGGTTTAATCTCGCTTATTACCGTCTTCCTCTCTTTTTGCGATTGGCAGAAATTGCATGATGAGAAAATTTTCAATTATTTCATTGGTTGAAATGCTGTTTAATGCAGGGGAGATAATTTTCTGAAGATCTAATTTTCGTACGACTTAACAATTTTTCAACATTTTCAATCGTAAAAAAAATATGACAAAACGAGCAACGAAATGGGCAGTAATTAATTCTAAATATTTATAAATTCTGGTTCAGTTGATTAAAAACGTCAGTCTGCATTTGACTCAATGATAAATTGTATTTTCTGACATTGTATCGACCATAGAACTTACAAAAAGATGACTTTAAATAAGACATTGCTGAAATTCTTGTTTCATTAACTTGTCTGTGACCTTGCGACTTACGTTTTTTGTCCCCCGCTTGAAAAGTGGGGGATATTAATTTGGGTTTGTCCGTCCGTCCGTCCGTCTTTCTGTCTGTCTGTAACGCTTTCGTTTCCACACGATATCTCGAGAACCCTTTGAGCCTTTGCAATGAAATTTAGCATAGCAACTCCTTATGGACTAAAGAAGACCCCTATCGATTTTGGGGTCAAAAGGTCAAAGGTCAAGGTCATAAATAAGCAAATTCTGTCTGTTAAAACACTTTCGTTTCCACACGATATCTCTAGAACCATTTGAGCTATTGCAATGGAATTTTACATAACAACTCCCTGGGGTCTAATGAAGACCCCTATTGATTTTGAGGTCAAAAGGTCAAAGTTCAAGTCGTAAATTTATACATTCTGTCTGTGTGTAACACTATCATTTCCGAGCGATATTTCAAGAAGATTTTGAGCCTATGCAATGTAATTTTATACCAAAACTCCCTAGGACCTCTCTCACCCCTCTCAAAGTGCCCCGCCCCGTTTGTTTTATTATTATGCATTTTATAGTATTACATGTCGCTATTTTTAGCACAGGGGCATGAGGAGAATTATTGCGTATAAAACAGGTTCTCGGCGGACTTTATGTTCTTATTACATCTATAAAAACTGTTTAATAAAGGCTAAATAAATCAAACACCATGGATTGTGTAAAATTTTGAGAATACCGAACATGAATATATACATATACTCGCTTCTCATTATATCGCGGGTTCCATTGTATCGCGGTATATTCCAAAAATTCAGACACATAGCTCATATCCTTTCTGTTAAAATACTATCTGTTTGTCGTCCGAATGTAAATTTTTTCGATGATTAAAAAGTATGGAACATGCGTCGGTAAATTTTTTATTCAAATAAAACGTAATTTTACAGATTTACATTCCCGTTTTTTATCATATTTAGATCATTGATTTTATAACCTAGTAAAAGCCGTAATAAAGTTCATGTTTCGAAAGTCTTTAGTTTGTATAAATGTTTATTTTTTATGTAGAATTACACCGTAAATATAAAAATAAAAATTGAAGTCCATGTCAGCCACAAGTTTCCATGTTTTCTTATACCGCGATACTATGAGACTCTACAATTCAGGAGGTAAATAAGACTTCCCGTTTTAAAATTAGACAACAAATTAACCAATGCAAACTTGAAAAGTAATTTGACACTAAAAAGTTAGGCCATAGATTGGTTAATGGATAGTATTTGATGAAAGTTAAAAGTAAAAAATTGGAATAACACTTTTTATGCAAAAGGATTAAGTACCGCGATATTATGAGACACCAGTATATATGTGACTTCAGTTCTGCATATACTTGTCACCGTGCAAAGCGATTCCGTGGTCTAGTGGTTATGTCTCTCGCTTTTTTTTTTTAAATACTTTTTTTTTACTAAATGATAGTATTCAGCATGTGAAATGAAAAATTTATGAGGTTATAATATCATCATTACAGTGTGATAAATATTCCATATAAAAAGAATCTTCTATACACATAATAAAGAATAAGCAATCAAATCTTTATATGCATATTGACATACATGTATTTTACTTGCTTCAGTATAATGTATACATTTAATAATTCTACAAATTCAGTCAGGGGATCCGACTTTTTCCCTAAGCGGGGGACACGAATTCTCTGAATTAGCTTGTTATACTAATTATTAGTCCATTTTTATACACTGAATTGACGACGGATTTTCCCGATCATGAAAAGAAGCAATCGGCGGATGTGACCGGTCGGCAGGAGGTGCTCACTCCTCCACGGCACCTGATCTCACCTTCGATGTTTTGGAGGTCCATGTTTGCTCTGCATGCTATTTTGTATTGTTTAATGGACTTTTGATCTTGAGTACTGTTCGTTTTCTCCATGTATTTCATCTATCAAGGTCAGTAAACTTGGCGGATAGATTTAAAATCTAATCTAAAAAAAAATAACCGATACTGAGTATATGGATTGTTCTATACATTTTTGGATCTATTTATGTCTTTGAAAACTACATTTTTGGAGTCCAGGTAAGGAATGTTAATAAGTTAGCCATCTGCTGATATTGTGAACCGAATTCAGTGCGGGAGTGAGTCACTCCCACACTTGCACAATTACGGAGCTCCTAAGGAATTGTACCCCCCACCCACACACACACACACTTGCACCATTACGGAGATCCTAGGAAACTGAACCCCCCTCTCAAAAACTAGAGGTACTGTGAGCAATGAGCTCACTGCATGATACCCCCGCCTCCCATATATGAATATAATAGCAGTGTGCATGTTTTGCAATGGGAAATCCAAAATATTTGTCGTATCAAACAGGAAAATAGGAGGTGCACACTGGCAATATATAATAAAGATTCTGTGAAAGCTTCATCAAATTTCATTAAGTGGTATGAGAGCAGTTGCGGATAAGAGTTGGGTAGTACCCAAAAGCGTAACAGACAGACGGACGGACGTACCGATTACTATAAACCCTCCAACTTTTCAGGCGGGCGGTATAAGAAGAGAGAGAGCTACATTATTGCTGCTATTTTAAATAGGAAATGCACATTGGCAATATGTAGTAAAGATTCTGTGAATGTTTCATCAAATTTTATTCATTGGTATGAGAGCAGTTGCGGATAAGAGATGGGTACCTAAAAGCGTAACAGACAGGCGGACGGACGTACATACCGATTACTATATACCCTCCCGCTTTTAAAGCGGGGGGTATAAAAGAGAGAGGGCTACATTGCAGTTAGCTTGTATACTGTACTTGTAAGTTTCTTTTGTGTCTTACTTTCCCGTTTTACATGTAGACGAAGTATGAAGGT